GTGCACTTTGCATTTTGCATTATCAACTTTCCAGCTTACTCGATCCACCTGAAATCTGAAACTCTAGTTCGCATCGGATTGAATGAAAGTGGTTCGAGGGTTGCTTAGGGGTGCGCGCGGCACGGCGTCCGGTTTCACGTCAGGCAAGTGATGGATCGTGGATAAATGGGGAATATTGACTGGAAATATTAGAGATATTAAAAAGGGCTCTTTCCAGTGGGGTCTCGGGCTCGCCTGTCGCCGGTCGGCAGCTCTCCTCTCCTCCCCCTCTCTCTATTCCTTCTTTCCACTCTTCTCCGAGCCACCGAGTGTTCTTTGCGAGATTCTCCTGAGCATCACTTCCGCCACCTCTGTCACTTGTATTTTGTCACCTTTCTCACCTTCCTCACCTTCCTCACCTTCCTCACCTTCCTCACCTTTGTCACCTCCATCAACTTCAACAGCGACGGATTGAAACGCGATACTTGCGATTTCGCGAACGGCAAGAGCGTCGTAGGCATCGGGACGTCAGGAGCGAACGACACACGTCTCTACGATTTGACCTTCTCCTGGGCAGCCGAACTCACGAAGGAGCCGGAAATCCCAGGAAGCTGCGAGGCAACTAGGGAAAATCGACGAGTGTCTCAGCAGTCAGTTCGATATACCAAAGATATCGAGTACCTGGACGGCAGATATAGGCACTATATCCTCCCTGGCAGAAGGCTGTCACGCTTATAGGCAGAAGACGTTAAAGAAGAGGTCTTTAACACTAAACCTACCAGAGCGGTCAAATGACCGCTTTTGAGACTTCAATCAATATTGTTAAATTCCAGGTTTTTATTTTTCTTCAACGACTATGCTAAATTCTGTATTAATTACAATCAACTGGAAAAGACTATAATGTTTATTTCAAAAGCGGTCATTTGACAGCCATCGGTAGAAATAGGTATATATAATATGTCGGTAGGTTTAGTGTTAATCGTTTCGAGGGATACTCTGTAACTCGAACGTTAAACAGCATCAACGATTAAGTCTTATATTTCGCTTTCTAACGTTTCTCAATCTTTCCGTACGAATGATCGAGTAGGCGATGGAGGACGATTCCAGTCTGTTCATAGGCATCCTGTGCGATAGGCGGTAGTAGCCGGTAGCCGTAAGTGAGATGAGTCCGCGAAAGCACCGGAGCGCCCTGCTCTCCGTTAATCAACCTTAAAAGAAAAAGAGAGGCGATCGTCGTCGTCGTCTTTGTCGTTTTCGGTGGTGTGTTGCGTGGAGCCTGGAGAATGTCGGTCGTACCCATCCGTATCCGGTTGTGGCAGTCGGTTCCGCGTATAGAGAGTATACCGCGCGAGAGATACCGCGAGAGACGGGACCGTACGTTTCGGGGTAATCTTCCTTGGTTGTTAGACTTTTTTTATGGGCAGTGCTAAACCCGAGATGGCGAGATGGCGAGATGGCGAGATGGCGAGAGGGCCAGAGGACACGCTAAAGGGAAAAGGGAAAAGGGAAAAGGGAAGAGGGAAAAGGGAAAAGGGAAAAGGGAGCAGGAAAGAAGAGAAGAGGATGAAGAGGAGAGGAGAAGAGGGAAAAGAGCCAGCCCGGCAAGATTGCCTCCTTCCTAATTTATAACTAGGAGAGGCTCGCCTTAACAATTTACGCCACCCTATACCTTTACTGCAACCGTTACAGCTACGGCCACAGCCACGGCTACGACTGTTACGCCGACGAGACACGAGATTGCTCCGGCTGCCCCAAACTTTTTCTTCCATCGAATTCGACGAAAGAATTACGACCTCGCGTCAAGTGAGTTCCTTCCTCCACCTTTCTATTTCTTCCGATCCACCTTCCACCACCTTCTATCCCCGTTCGCCGATTCGCTCTCGGAGACACCGAGCACCTCTGAAGGAAGGTCCTTCGGGCCCCTTGCGTTCTGACGTTCTGACGCTCTGACGCTCTGACGCTCCTCTTTGGCATTTCCTCGGATGCCCGGGTGCCCGGATACCCGGTCACGGATCCCAAGACGCGAGAAACAAGACTCGGGCTTCTTCAAAGTATCTGACCTGATTGACCTGAACTTGTTTTGGGCGGCTGACGTTCGCGATTCTTATCGAAGAGCAATGTATCAAAAAGAAGCAAGTAGAATGCCCTTGATGGAAGTAGAGATACTCTGGAGAGAAGAGCGGGCCGATTGAAGCAGAAGGAGGAGCGTCTTGGGAGTGTCTTGGATGGATAGAGAATGATAGTGAATGATAAGGAATGATATAGTGGATACTAGAAATACGAGGAGGATACGAAGATTTTTTGATTTACGAGAAGCAAAGTGCTCTGCCAGCCGAGCCCGGGGAATGACTGGGCAGAGTTCGACTTCACCATACATAAAACATGGCTCTGTGGCTGTGGCTGTGAACGGGCAGCCAGCAATCGGTATTTCAAAGGGAGAGAGTGAAAGAGAGTAAAGGAGAGTGAGGGAGAGGAAAGCCCGAATGCCGGAAACCCGGAAATCCGGAAAGCCAGAAAGCCAGAAAGCCAGAAAGCGAAAAGGAGGATCTTCGCGTTTTTCTACGTGTCTCAATCCCGATTAGAAAGAAGTCGAATAAACGCCAATCGAAATAAAGAAAGCCGAGTGGAATTCGAATTGCAAATTTCATTTTCTTAATGGGGAAAATTGCTCTCGGTGAGATTTGGGCTCGTCGACGAGTCGACGCTTATCGGGTTCACCGCGACATTCACTCCGTCAATCGGTAATCCCGAAAAAAGCACAGCTTCACGCTCGCTGTAAGCGTCGCAGACGTCGCTATCGAAAAATACGAGAAAACCGAGAAAACCGAGAAAACCGAGAAATGCAAAGCGAAAATGATTCGAGTCGCGTCGTCGAAAGTATTTGCAAGGCTTTCCGGAGAAGGACGCTTGACGCTTTTATCCCTTGATATTATTCGAGATTGGAGTCCCGCGAGTCGGCGGAGGAAAATGGTCTCTTGGACAGTTGGACAGTTGGCCCGAGTTGAAGGTTGGCCGAAGGATGCTCGCTCAGGTGATGCCTTTTATCTCTCTCTCTCTCTCTCTCTCTCTGCTCTTTCGCACCACTCGCGTCCGTCCGTCTCTCCTCGTATAGACTTAGACTTCCAGACATCTTGTCGCTCGGAGTTTGTGACGGGAGATGACGCTTTTATCGAGTTACGCTTTTGTTTTCAAGCGAGCACCTTCGGCAAGCCGCCTGTGACGGAGGCCCCCCCATCCACCCATCCACCCATCCACCCATCCACCCACACGTATAGTCTTCGAGGCATAGATGCTCTAAGATATGAAGCGCAATGGTATTTCGGAGAATAGGTTAGGTTGGCCTAGCTACATCTTGAGATACAGCCAGCATGCTGCGCAGCTACACAGCGACGGAGTCTCTTTCTCCAGACCCAGACCCCACAGGCTTTCTATTTCTTTCCTTTTTTTTGTGCGATTCGTATTAAAAATTGCAAATCAGAAGATAATTGAGCATGAGCCGATATAAATCATTCGGTTAAAAGTTAAACTTTTTGGTGGTTGCCTTGAAAGACCCTTCCCGCAGGAGGCTTGACGGCGGTCCACGCCTAAATAAATAGTGTGATGCTGGTGAAGTCAGATCGAGGTAGGATCAGGTGGCTAAGCAAACTCGGGAATCTCTTCCATCGGGATGAAGAGTCCCTTGCTTCTCTCTCTCTCTCTCTCTCTCTCTCTCTCTCTCTCTCTCTTCCCTGTCACACCTGCTGTCCACGTTACGACAAGAAAGGAGAAGCGAAAGAAGCCAAGGGACTAAAGGAGGTTTCGGGACGTCTTCTAGAGTCCGCGGACGACGGCTCTCGGTATGGGGAGGAGCAGCAGCTCGGTCGACGACCGAAGCCGAAGAACCGAAATCTACGGAACGAGGAATCTTGGTGAATTTGAAGGGTCGAGAAAGTAATGATGAGCGCGCTGCTAATATCCACGCACAGCGAATAAACGAGTTAGGGATCCGTGAGAACGAGAGAGAGAGTTGAAACTGGAGCCCGAAAGGGCAAATCTATTGGAGTTTCAGTCTGGAGGAGGCACGACCTCTCGAGGGGAGGCCTTGGGAAATATCAGTGAGGGCTCAGGCTTGAGGGTTGAAACGGGGATACAGGAAGAAGGTTCGTAGCAACCAATAATGAGGGAGAAAGCTTTCTTTATCTGCCTGGGAAAATCAAATTGTCGCCCTTCCATCCTTTCCCAATCTCGCTCCTCTTAGTCTCGGCAAGAAAATGCGCCACAGTAGCACAGAGGCCGAGGGAGGAACTCCGTATCGAGCCTCTTCCAAGCTCCCACCATTTCTCAGTATCTTTCGGCGTCCTTCTTCATCCTCCGTCGCGACTGCACCTCGCGAACGGTAGCCTCTCTCTCTCTTATTCGATTCGTATTCGTTTCCTCGAGTTCTTCGGGTGCCCGTGATGAGGTGACTCGGCGAGGACCAAGAAGCCGATGATACTTTTTTTTATTCATTTTGCAATTTCGAATTACTAGGAGACATTCGAGAGAACAATGCGAGCAACTCTTTGCTGACCAGGAAAATCCGTTGCTCTTCTTTCCTTTGATTGGTCACTCGAGCGAGTGATTGGTCACCCGTCTTCTGCGGATTGACAGGCAACACGCCACGTCGATTTTTATTTCTTAATGCAAAGGAGAATGGTAAGAGAATGGCAATGGAAGGGAAACGAGAGCATCACTCAATTGGCTCGTCCGATGCACGCGTGCAACATTGTATGCATTCGTCGCGCATTGTATGCACTCTCTTCGCCCTTCCTCTATTCTCCGTCTTCGCCGTCGATCCAGAGCGCCGTTGGTGCTGCTGCACGTGGTTTTCACTACTCACGCGCCATTAGCCGTCGTACGTTCTGTCGCACGCGATGGCGACTCCCCGCGCTCGAAAAAGCAAAACGAGAAGACCCTGGGCCCGAGAATCGTGTGGACGGTACTGATTGACGTGCAGCGTCGGAAAAGTTGGCTCGTTGCTATCGGAGTGTCGCCACTGGCGATCCGCGAGCGATCGTCTCGATCGAACGCGAGAGGTTGCAGTGTCGATTGGTGGTGCCGTTCGGAGACTATTAATTTCTACGAGGAGCCGAGACAGAATGTCCCAGAATAACTTACTTCAAAGCTACAACTGTAAGTCCTCTTGCGAAAAGGAACTTGAAAATCTACTTCCGCGGAGCAAACGCGGCGCACGACTTCCAGCTTTCGATTCCCTCTCTTATTTCGTAAAATGAACTCTGAATATGGCGGTTTTCGTTTATTTATTCGATCGGGAGAAAAATCCGAGAGCTGTCTATCCCTTGCCGGCTTGTTCGCGCACTGTCCTCGAATTTTGTTTAAATCGATTTTGGATAATGTGACGTTGAAGGTAAGTAAGCCCCCTTTATCCATTATCGGAGTATCAAGATCAGAGGATCTTGTCACATTCCAAGCAGCAGGCGATAGAAACTTTTCGGAGAAGCATTCTCACTTGGCATCGTTGCTTCGAGGAAGGCGTGTCAGGCACATCGGACTGTCGGACGCACTGACGTATACGGACGCACGGACGTATTCAACTAATTGACGCGATTCCACGTGTGTGCAGGGGAAGCGCAATACGAGGATGGTCAGGTACAATTCACTCGGCCGATTCAGGAGGAGGTGATAAGGTAAGTCGCTGAGGTAAGTGAGGAGGAGGCTGGCAGGGCGTTCACTGGAATTTCAATGAGTCCGTTCCTTCATTCTGAGAGCAGTGTCTACGAAGTCTATGTCAAGGAGGAGACGATCGGCGGCGGCGGCGGCGGCGGGGAAACGAGGACCGACGTGGAAGCCGGCAGCAATGACGCGATTCGCCTTCCCGAACGAATCGATCGGATGACGAACTCCAGGTTTCCGGCGAGCCTGAGCACGCTCAGCGCCGGACCAACAGGTCTCGTCTTCGAGGCAGACTGCATGGATCTCGAGGCAGCCATCGACTCCGAGGCGATAAGCTTCGACGGTACAGGGAGCAAACTCCTTCCGAAGGATTCCATTAAGTACAAGGTGACGTCCCATCGGCACCACTCTCACGCTCGATTTCTTTCGAGTTTCCGGCGTTCCTCTCGCACCGGAAGTAACGCACTTACCTTAAAATCGAGAGGACAACGGGATTATTTATCGCAGATCCTGGACGAGGCTTCCAACGTGTCCGAGGAGAATTCGGTAGTGGTGTACTCGCATCCTGCGCCACTTCCCACGGCAGTTCAGAGTTCAGGGCTCGTTGCCGGGATCGGCGCCAGCAACGACAACGGCAGCAGCGTCCTCGGCACGGTTACCCTTTCGAATCTGGCGCCTTCGGTGGCTTCTTCCTCCTTCGCGTCCCTGTCCTCGTCATTGCAGCTGACAGCGCCGACGACGTTGCCGTCGACGTCCACATCTGCCACGGCGACTCGACTGATCGACAAGGACGACCCTCGATCTAGGCTTCACTTTGTCAAGTATCTGAAGCGCGAGGGAAAGACTCTGAAGATTTGGGAGTGCGGTATTTGTGAGTGAGATGAAGACTGACGTAGTGACGTAGAGTGGCGTCAAATCCAGTGACACGCCTCAATTTAGAGTGATACATCGTGGTACGATCGTAATACGCCATCAGGTTCCAAGGAGTTCCGACACCAGTACACCTTGATGAGACACTTGCCGACCCACACCGACGAGAGAAACTTCAAGTGCGACGCTTGCGGCAAAGCCTTCCGACAGTTGTCGACGCTTAGCCAGCACAAGGCCATTCATAGCGATGCCAGACCCTACGTTTGCGAATTTTGCAAGAAGACTTTCAACAGGTTAGTACCTTTGGCGACGTTGCCGACGTTGCCGACGTTGCCGAGGTTGCCGACGTTGGCGACGTTGCCCAGGATGTCACAATGTCCTTTGCTCTTTCTCTTTTTTCTTCTTTTCATCAACCCTCTCTGTCACACCGCTCGCGATGGCCTCCCGTTGCAGAGTGTCGACGCTCATCTCCCACCGGAAAACTCACTCGGAGCACAAGCCTCACAAATGTCATCTGTGCGGCAAAGGATTTCATCAGAAAGGTAATCGGCGCTTCTTCATTATTTCAATTGACTTTTGCTCGACGCGTTCGATGCTGCAGGCAACCTCAGGAACCACGTGTTCACGCACACCAACGAGCGACCGTACAAGTGCGAGCTCTGCGGAAAAGGCTTCAACCAGATGTCGAACCTCGTCTGCCACAAAGTCAAGGCACACGCTCACGCCGAAAAGATGCAGTACGCCTGCGGCATATGTGGCAAGGAATTCCCACGGAGGTTCTCCCTGCGATCGCACGAGGAGTACAAGCACGGCATCAAGTATCGTCAGCCCGGTGGCGTGCAGTCGGCACAGTCGGCGCAGTCGGCGCAGTCGGGACCTGCAGCCAACGTCAACCAAGGGTGCGTCCTCGGTTTCGCTTGGGGTTTTCTCTATTTTGGCTGATCTGCGATGCGAGTCTTTTCTTCTCTCGACAGGAGCAATCTGAAGATCTTGCATGCGAGTGGCGGAAGCGGCGGTGAAGGCGAATGCAGTGCCGGGGATGGTAACGCTAAGGGATTAGGGCTCGATAAGAGTTCGATTCATCGGACGAGGGAGGGGAGCAACGACCTCAGCATGGTGCGTATTCGCTCGCGAGGGCCATCGATCCTGACACGCAGATCGGCTTATCGGCAGATCGCACTCTTCCTTGCTTCTCTGCCTGCGCAGTTCGAGTACATGGGAGGGGAGGAAGTCCAAGGCATGCTAGAGAACACTATCATCGGGAGGATTGCAACTAAAGCCATGGAGAGTGCTCTTCTTCAGGGTCAGACGCCGTTCGCCCTGTTCAAACCACTAAAGGGCATTCCCGTCCTCGTGAAAGTGTCGCCCAGTGGCGCCGACAAACACGTGATAGCCTCCACCTCACCTATCTCTCTCTCTCTCTCTCTCTCTCTCTCTCTCTCCCTTCTCGCCACTTTAACTCTGTCTCTTTCTCCGTCGACATTTGGTAGGTTCTCACGGCGGCTACCGCTGAGGATCTCCGACTCGCTGGGAAAATCACCCTCGACTCCAGTCTCAATCTAAGCGACTTGGACGGCTTAAAGGCTGTTCAAATTAAGGTACCCGTGGTAGCAACCATCACTCAGAGCATCGATGCCAACGGAAAACTCAGCTTCTTCGTTGAAGCACCTGCCAGCGGCCTCGATCTGGAAAAAGGTAGGTCTCCCGTTTTCTCCCGATTTCTCCCACCTTCTTGCTGATCTAGTGGCACATCACGACATCTGTGCACCGCCTTTTGACATTAGATGGGTACGTCGAATGTGGCGCCGGTGCTCTGATTACCGAGCCGATGGAGGCTCATCTCGCCTATAGCGAGGAAACGCGACTCGGGGACGTCAGGACTCAGGCCGCTGCATTCGAAGAAATCGAACTCGATAGGGTCCGAGGAAAGGGCGTCGTCGGGGCAAAGAGAAGGTTCAGAATGAAATCGAGAGAGAAAGATAATAAGGACGTAGAGAAGGAGAGGGCGGCGATTACGTCAGGCGGCTCTGAGGAAGTGCCGTCGATGCTGTCCGTGTTACCGGGAGGACCGGAACAAACCGAAGAGCCGCAAGAACCAGGGGACTGCGACAACGAGTTGCTCGAGTTGGCTGCTCAGGGTGGAATCCAGTTCGTCCGGGCGACAGAGGACGGACGTTACGAAGTTATGAGCAACAGCGAGGCACGAGACTTGATGGCTCAGAATTCTCACGACATGACCATTCTGGACGGCAAGGACGCAGAGAGCATTGGCTTCCTCGATATTCGCGCGACGCCCGACGTCGCGACTGCCGTCGCCGGTTGCGAGGTCGCCGATCAGGTGATAATCGGTGATGTCGGGCAGCAGATCATGCTTCTCGATTCGTGCTCCCCGCCAAGGACCTCACCGCTGCAGGTCGATGAAATCGAGATCCTCGAGAATAAGGATATACGGGTCCTTGAGAGCAGGTCGACGAGCATAGAGGAGCGGCTCACTGACGGAATTGCATTCCTCTCCCATTCGAAGATCGGCGAGCTTATGCTCGAGCCCCGCGACCTCAGCCTGGACGTCGACGGCGTTCCCGTCGTTGAGGCCGACAAGGAAGGTCAGTGGAGCGAGTATAATATCCTTTGTAGCGTTCTCCTTAACGACGTCGTTTGCTCCGTCGAACGAGGAGCCGGAGGTACGTGCGGTGCAGGGGCCCACCATCTTCGCTATCACCAGCACCACCATCATCTTTACCAGCAACAGAACCAGCAACCCCACCAGCACCACCATCACCACCACCACCACCACCACCATCAGCAGCAGCAGCAGCAGCAGCAGCAGCAACACCATCATCATCAATGCCACGAGTGTTCATTTGCTACGGAGAGTATTTTTGGAGAGCACGCGGCTCAGTCTTCTGTCTCAAGGCCAAGCGACAGCGTCGGCCGAGATGTCAACGTCAACAAGGGCGATGGGAACGAGGAGCTTCTTCCCGAATACAGAGTGCCTGATGAAAAAGAATACGTCCAAATGGAGCAGCAGTCGCTTGATGAATTTGACGTAAGGAAGAAACTTTCCGAATTGGCGTCAGTCTTGAATTTACAGTCTGTCCAAGAAGAAAACATTACTGTCCCGAGGAATCGTTCGCAGATTAAGATTCTTGGAGGTAGGGAACATCACGTCTCGCGAATCCTGCCGAACAGCACCGAGAGAGCACCACCAAAGTTGAGTTCTGCGGGCGGATCGAATCAGATCAAAATCTTAGGCGCAAAGAAACATCAATCGTCGCCATCTCGGCGAAACGTACAGCGGAACGAGGCCTCTTCGGAACATGCGGACGAGCATGATCTTGGCTTGACCGCTGACAATGTCGTCACTACCCTAGAGCGGAAGAACGTGAAGATTCTCGGTCGAAGACTGAAGAGGGTGGCACTTCCGGAAAACCAGACTCTCGAGGGCGTGAAGGGAACTGGTCGTCTCGGAGATGACTCGAGAAACGAGGATCCAAGTAAGAAGAGACACAAAGCCAGAGAGAATCCTGAGAGGAGCGTAGATCTGACCGAAGGGACGATCACGGCAAGCATGCGTGAGGGCATCGAGGACGTGCAGGACGTGCAGGACGTGCAGGACGTGCAGGACGTGCAGGACGTGCAGGACGCACGAATGGAAGAGTCTTTGGTGGGGCAGGCGACTCGCGCCGATTCTTTGGCTGCGGACTTCCTCCTGAGTGTAAGGAGCGCCCTTTCTCATTTACCATATTGCCCATCTAAATGTCAATTTTCACACCCGCAGGCCTGCAGCCCGTGTCCAGCCGACTTTCTCAATTTCGAAGCCCAGGATTCCGAGAGTTCTGCAGAGGCTGTCGATCGTTTTGAGAGACATTGCCAGAGAGAACGAGAATATGTCATGGCTGGATTACCTGATCTGGATTAACGTTTATTTCTTTATTCGTTTATACGAGACTAATTTATACAATTTCAATGTGTCTATGAGCACTCGCTGCTCGCTGCTTCTCTCTCGCTCCCTCTTTTCTTTCCCTGCGTCTCACTCTTCCGGCTTTTCATTCTTCCTCTCTTTCTCAACCCTTTGCTTGCTTTTACATACACCGCAATTAGAAGTTATAAAATTTTCATCATTACACAAGTTTTACATTTCATCAAATGTTTTTTATTACCTATTCTTGATAACTAATGACGATTTGATAACTTGAATTAGCAAAATTATATTGTATTTCAGAAGAAAGTGTAGCCTTCTCCAATAAAAAGGTCCAATATATACATTGATGATTTCTTGACGATCAGCATTATTAAACTTTCTCTTTCTTGCCCACTCTCTCTCTCTCTCTCTCTCTCTCGCGCAC